TCATAAGAAAAAAAAAAAAAAAGATAAAAATTCCCTTCTCCTCATCCCCTGTGCCTTTCTTTTCGTTACTAAGCAACTGGTCCTTGATCTTTCTGTCTCTCTTCTTTCCTTTGGTTCCCAAGTGAAGTCATTAAAATGTCTGGAGGGATGAAACTCATATTTCACCTTCTGCCTGTCTGGGGAAGGAGCCCCTGGGGCCAGGGTCCCTTGGGGACACCCTGCAGGTCTGATGGAGGGCTCTGTCTGGGCACAGGTCCCAGACAGGGCTGAGCAGAGAGGGACTCGTGTATTTGCACAATTGCACCTCGTGCTGGGATCGGGCAGGGAGCAGACAGGATCAGAAGGGACAGAGCAGGTCCATGCCATCGGCTGCCACCGGCTCCAGCCCTAACGTTTGCTCTGCTCTCAGCCCTACGCAGCCAGCTCACTCGTCTCTGCCACGAGGATCCGTGGCACAGGCGCCTGGCGGCCGTCCCTGCTCCACCGGAGTTGTATGTCCTCCTGCCACGACCCCGACTCCCCGGCAGTGCCAGACGGGCTGCAGCAAGCGGCTCAAGGAAGGGGCTTTGGACCACTCGATGCCAGCGTGAGCCTGCGGTCTTCATCGGATAGCCGGAGCCCCGGGGATCTGGGTAATGGGGAGAGAGGGAGGCACAGCCAGCCTCACCTGGCCGTGCCGGGGTTTTGGTGGCATTGCATCGCGTTCTGTGCCACCGTGTGAAAATTAGAAAGTATTACTTATGGTTTCTTGGTGGCAGTGGGGAGTTCAGGTCCCACAGATGTGATTAATTATCCTCCTCTCCCCTCTCTGCAGAGTCTGCCCAGCATCCTTCCTTCACGTTTGAAACCGAGACCTCCTCCGACTGGGAGCCCCAGAACTTCGACTTCAGCACTGCCTGCAGCTCCCTGCACTCCCCCAGGACCCTCTGCAAGGCGGTGGTGAAGGGGCTGAGGAGCAACGAGCCCGTGCAGTGGGAAGTTGCCTTTGATATCCGCCCTCTCTTCCGAGAGCGGGAGAGCCGTGCGGATGGCGACACAGACCTGTGGAGCGAGACCTTCCACCACCTGGCAGCCAAGTCGGTCATCCGGGACTTCGAGCATCTTGCCGAGAAGGAGTGTGAAATCGAGCACGGTAACGCACAGCTCTGCGAGCTGGCTGCGGGCAGACCCTGCCCTTCCTCGGGGTGGGCTTTCCAGCAGCTTCAGCAACCTCTCGAGTTAATGCAAGGGCAGACAGTGGTGAAATATTAGGAAAGCTTCATATATTTCCCAAATAACAGCCCCCTCCAGCTGCCTTGCACTTTTCTCCTGCTTCTACAGCCTCACTGGACATTAAGGGGCTCAAGCTTGTGCTCCTCTTCTTCACGAGTCAGGTGATTATTCCACAAGACAGTGATTATTTTTAAGTAGTTAGTGACCTGGAGCTGGGAGGTGGCATCAAACTCAGAGGGTGCAACAGCAGCCACGCATCACTGCTCTGGGCTGCACATGTCCCTGGGTCTTGTCAAACTTCTCTGCCATGAAGCGCATCTGTGCATGTAAAATAAGAGCGGGAGAAGCACTAGGCAGAGTTTAGAGGGATACAGTCCCCACTGTGCATGGAGCCCAAGCACGGATGTGGGTCTGGGAGCTGGGTCCGAGGGGTGGATGGAGCCCATGGGGCACATGGACTCTGACCTGGTGTCTCTCACGTGGCAGGATCCGGGCGGCGGTACCAGGTCAACGCTGTCCACACCAGCAAGGCCTGCAACGTCATCAGCAAGTACACGGCGTTCATGCCAGTGGACCTGAGCACCAACACCTACTTGCCCACTGTCATCGAGTACACCCACACGGGTAACGTGGGGCTGGCGGAGGGGTGAAACGTTGTCCTGGGAGGGAGGGTGTCACCTGAGGAACCTCGCTCAGAGCAAACCCAATGAAGCCACGGTTCAATTCAGCACCAGACCTATATAACCAAGGCTGTGGCTGAGCCTAACGGCATGCCTGCCACTCGTGATAGCAAGAACCTCTTTCCCGCAGCCAGGCGAAAGGTCTACTCTTAGGCCTGCATGCCCAGAGATGCCCAGGCTCATCAGTCTGTGGGTTTTGTTGCCATCTTGCGCGTGCCAGTCCCTCTCTAATGTTGGCAATTCCCTTCTCTTGTGCCAAGGGGCAGCATCCAAGCAAGGCAGCCAGAGGAGCATGAGCTCAGGAAACAGAAGGCATCGTGGCTTTTCCCCTGGACGTCCCCAGCCAGCTTGTGGCCAGAACGGAGATGATGGATTTTACAGTATGAGTAAGATTCCCTGGGGTTTCTTCTCCTTCCTGGTGTCACAGGTCTCAGTGGTTTAGTCTATGAAGAGACATCTATGGTCTTTTTTTCTTCTGCCTTTCTCTTTGAATATGGTGCTCACTAGACAGGTGTCTGGCTGGAGTCCATGTCCTTAAACAGGGAAGAAGCTGCAGTTTCCCCTGAAACTCCAAAAGCGCAGGCAGCAGCTGCTGACAATGTTTGGAAGTTAATTGGCAGCCGTATCGCAGATAACATGAGGGATGAAACCGGGCGTAATTAGAGGCAAGGAGATGTGAGACGCTTGTCACCAAATCCTCTGCTAATGAAGATGAGTTGGATTGGACCTTGTCTGGCACTGTCAGATCTGCAGCTGAATTAAAATCGCCCCTGATCAGGCTCATTAACCTGATAATGCCATGGAGAGGGAGAGCGGCCATGCCGCAGCCTGGCTCGGTGGGCCGATGGCGAATTCGGCTGGGTGCGATTGCTGACGTGGTTCCTCCGTTGCAGATGCAGAGGAGAGCAGCCTGTCGCCCTGCAGCACCCCTTCCTCCTCTGGCTGGGAGCGCTGCGGTCTCCCCGAAGGTAGGGCGAAGAGCTGACTGCACTTGCCAGGGTGCAGGCGAATCGAGTCCGCGATCTGGGCTCTTCACCTAACACTTCTGCTGAGTTTTGGGGTTTTTATAAATCCTTGTAACATAAAATTAGGCCTCCGAGCAAAAGACCTGACACCTTCCGGGGTGCAAAGGACAGAGCCTGATGGGGCCTTTAGTATAGATTTCCCCCAGCTTCCTTTTTGAGCCGTGCAGGAATGTCATTATCCACATAGGAAAAATGAGGCAAGGGGAAAGGAAGGATTTTGCCAAAGACTCAGCAGCAGAACAAGCCACCCCACATCCCAGCGCATAGACTCTGCTCCCTTTTGCTCTCCTGTAGCACCTCGTTTCACCCCCAGCTTTGTGCTTCTTCCCAGGGCCGTTACAGAGCCTGTCTGCTTCCTCTGCACAAGCCCAAAAATCCATCGAGAGCCTCTTTGCTGCAAGGTACAGACCAGCTCGGCCTTCCTCTGACCTTAGTAGATGTCTTGCACCTCGGTGGGTCCAATGCAAACACAAGCAAGGGGGAGAGGAGGGACACCCTGGGGTTAGCGGCTGGAGCCAGGACCCAGTGTGATGCCAGTGACTGGGAGCCAGGGATGGTTTTCGGAGGGGAGGGTGGGCGTCAGGAGGGGCGAGGGGGTAATGGCCACCTTTTCCTCCTCCTGCAGGCTGACCTTCAATAAAACCAGGCTGCTGACTCGAGCCGCCAAAGGGTTCATGAGTAAATCTCCAAGCAGAGTGAGCGAAGCCAGCTCTGAGGGTGACAATGAGAACATAGACTACCTTCCCCTGGTGAGCACCTCGTTCCTGGGTCTTGCTGGGATTGCATGGTCACTGCAGGGGAGCAGAGGGCAGGAGGATCCCCCCGCATCCTGCCTCTTGCTCTCTCTGACGGCCATGTCCAACAGTCTATGCAGAGATGGAGAGCTGCTCCATCCATGCATGCCCTTTTCCTGAACCTCCCAAAAGTAGTTGGTATCTCAGAGCTTGTCTATATGCCTACCGGTCCTTGCAGGCGTCTCTGCAGCTGGCCTGCGGTGCCTTTCTCATGAACTCGGCCTTCTGCGACGCCGTCAGCATCCCCATGGAGAAGCTGAAGTGGACATCTCCCTTCGCCTGCCACCGCCTGGCCCTCAGCCCCTCCAGCTCCTACAGCACCAAGAAGGCCAGTCCCTCGGGGGAGCAGAAAAGCCTCGGCTCTGGCCAGCAGCTCCTGGTTCCCAATGGCACGCATGGGAAGAGTCCCACCACCAGAGACGTTTCTCAGTGTGTGGTGCCGGAGGGACCCATCAGCCACACAGAGGACACTGGCCGCCTTCGCCACTTCTCGGGCAGCGCGGTAGAAAGCATCTCCAAAGCCCTGAAAGCTGAGAAGGAACTCTCCCCGCCGGCCATCACCATCCGCCGCTTCTCCTCTTCGG